TCCTTTATGTGGGTTGTGTGTGCCCTCCTGATAACAATTGAGCCTTAATTGTTGTTGATACATCAGTGGGTAGGATTGACCCTCAGGCTGTCTGGCTTTGAAAACTGGCCGTGACTATAGCAGAGGAGCTGTTGTATGGGAGCTGTCTGCAGGGATCAGGATTCATTTTAGCAGGGCTCTGGTACTTGCTGAGTTTGCCCTTTGGGTGCATTGTTTGTGGCGCTAATTGGGTGGTGCTCTGTGGTCTGAATGTGCCCATCAGGTGTGTTGACTCTGGAGCATCTTGAGAGCAGTGACTCTGGGGCACCTTGAGAGCAGTTATAATGCAGATCTAAGATAGGGTCTGCCTGTGCACAGCACAGGGCCACCTGGTAGGAGCTACAAATTGATCTGAGGTTTGTAGTTGCCTATGCTGTGAGCCAAGACTGGCTGCTTAGAAGTGCAGACTTGGGGCCACTTAGAAGTACTGAACATGCAAAGGCCAGACACTGCATCTTTGGGATTTTTGGACCTTTGAGAGATTTAGCAAAATCCAGAGTGGCCTGAAGTCAGCAGGTTGTGAAGAACAGCTACTGGGAAAGTTTTGGGTTCATGGAAGGGTTGGTTGTAGAAGTCTCATGGAACTACCACACAGGGGAGGGCAATGTTAGCCAAATTGATGGAGACCAGATATGGCACCCACCTGAGCCTGCTTGCTGTGTGTGTGTCTCAACAAAGGAACAGTGGCGGGTGCTAGCACTTCTGCCTGGAACAGAGCTGGCCCTTCATTCCTGGCCCTGAAGCCAAACAATTCCGTTCCTCCCCATATGTCCTTGGTCCTTTTTGAACTTGCTGCACCAGTACTGGAGCTTGGAGCAAGTGAGTTCATCAGGGAGTAAGTCCGTGCATGGGTCCTTTAAGAGGACACCTTTAAGAGGTCTATAGCAGCCCCTGTCTCACCTGAACAGAATCCCTGCCGATTTTCACAGCCACATGTTGTGGAGACTCTTCCTAGCACTGGTGGTCCAGGCTGGGGAGCCTGGTGTGAGCATATGACCCCTCAATCCTCAGTGAGAACCCTGCAGCTGAGATATCCCTGTTGATTCTCAACCACCACACATAGGTGGGAACCAGTCTGTTTTGCTCTCTACTCCTCTTACCAGCCTCAATGTGTCTTCTTCCAGCTAGCCTTCAGGTAAGTGGTTCTCAAAGGTGGTTGTTTTGTAATCTAGTGGTAATTATAGTATGGTCATGGGAGAGGCAAGCACAGCACTTACCTGCTCAGCCATCTTCATCCCCTACACATTGTTGCCAGAACATTTTCCCTTGCTTAAAATCTTTGACTTCATCAATTTCAGGATAAAATCCAAACTTCTTGGTGTGGCAAACAGACCTTTTGTTATCTAGCTTCCCCCTTCTACTCAACGTTTAACATGTCATTCTCTTGCTCATCCATTCTATTCTTGCGTTTCCACAAAAGTGTCATTACAGGCAGTCTCCTTTTATTTGAAATGCATATCTCACCTTCTAGAGGGTTCCCATCCTTTCAAATTCTGGCTCAGACATCACTGCTTCTGGAAAGCATTATTTGATATCTCCAGATTCCTTTGGTTAGATTCAATCTCTTTCTTTATCCTGCTCAAATCTCTACATTCTTACACTGCAACAAGTCACCTATTTGCCTGTTAACCATATTTACATACTGACATAATAATCTGCTTATTCAACTGCTAGCCCCTGAATTCCACCTCATTTTTCCTGATTCATGGCTTCTTGAAGGCTTGTCTTAAAACTCCTACCTGTGCAGTATATAGTTCCTGCCACAAAGCTGGGATTTTTTTTAATTACTAAGTTGTTCGTAAGTACTCCTTTTGTTTTCCTAAAATTGTTTGACACTAAAGAATACCAAATAACATACTATTTATATCATGAAAAGATTGATGTACCTTTCAACATTTTGGCACAGGTGTTAAGATTCATTACCCTTCTTTGACAACTCCTCTGTTGGAATTTATATATTCATACTAGAAGCCCAGTGCACAAATTCATGCACAGGTGGGGTCCCGCGGCATGGCCTGTGAGGATTGGGTTGAAACCAGCAGTCCCACACGGCCAGTTCAACACTGCCTGCCACTCCCACTCATCCCAGCCCTGCTGCGCCTGCCATGGGCTTGTGCCCAGTCAGTCCTGATCAGGAGAGGCTCACGCCGCCACAGTGGCACTTGCCAGCCATGAGCCCTGCGTCTGGTGCCCCTCCCAAGAGGGGTGTGGAGGGGGTCAGGATATAATCGGCCCTCTGAGCAGACTCCGGATCCATCCCACTGGCATTTGCACCAATTGTCGAGAGCCACCTGGCGGCCGCTTTTATGTCATTTCTTCCATGCAGAGCATCTAGGGGGAGGAAGCGGCTGCAGTGCCTGAGGCTGATTTCCAGGAGGCCGGTGGCACGGGTCCCTCGGTGCCTGGCCCATTCTCCAGCGATTGGACCTGCAGGACTACTGAGGGAGTGAGTGACTGCCGCCAGACTGGAGGGCCACTGGGATGAGTCATTCAGCTGTGTGGCACTTCTGCCATGGGAATGCATTGACCACCAGGGGGGCAGCTCCTGTGTTGAGCGTCTGCCCCCTGGTGGTCAGTTCATGTCACAGCAACCAGTTGACAGGTCATTCGGTCACTCAGGCTTTTATATATATAGACATATCCATATATATAAATAGCTTTAAACTTCACTGATTTTTCCATTTAATATATCTAAGATGAAAGCTCACAGTGTATAGCAGGTATACATTCATAATAACTACAGAGAAAAAAATTCTGAGAACAGAATTACAAATTGGATACAAAATCCTCAACTCACAGCAATTACTAGAACAAAGAAAGGCAACAGACTTTATTTCTATTTTTAAATAATATCCATGCACAAAGTTTGACATAAGGTCAGGAAAGGTCAAACCTCAGAAACTGAGAGGTAATTTTCACTTCATTTTTATATTTTATTTGGTCCTTTTTCCCTAAAAATGTACAATTTCTTTTATCACATCTTTTATGTGCTATTAAAATGTTATTTTTAAAAGTATTACCAGTTTACAATTATTGGGGGTTTTCTTTTTTGAGAAATCCAGTACACACACCCCTCCCCTGGCCCAGATGTTACTGACAATAACGTATCTAGTGTACACTGCTGTAGAAATAAAACAATTCTTCTATTTGACAAATGACCAAAGTTAATGTCTCTAGCTGTGAATTCATTTCAGGTTATTTTAAAAAGTGTCTACAGACATGAACACTTTCCTCATTATCACAGTCAAGACATATCCTTGGAATTTAACATCTGATGACTAAATTATAGAAATGTTTTTAAGTATCCATTACATTTATTCCATCACTCTCATGTATTCTGATAAGCTTTGGTTTATGGCTTCCATACATACAAATCTACTTTCTAGGGGTTCTCTTCAATATGAATTTTATAATGATTAGTAAGAGATGACCTGTGGTTGAAAAGTTTTCCACATGTATTACATTCATAAGGTTTCTCTCCAGTATGAATTCTCTGATGGGCGATACGTGATGAGCTTTGTCTAAAAGTCTTCCCACATGTATTACATTTAAAGGGTTTCTCTCCTGTATGAATCCTCCGATGTTGAATAAGAGCTGAACTTTGGCCAAAAGATATCCCACATTCCTCACATCGATAAGGTTTTTCTCCAGTATGAATTCTCTGATGATTGCTAAGGGATGAATTACACCTGAATGTTTTTCCACACTCATTACATTTATAGGGTCTTTCTCCAGTATGCATTCTCTGATGTTGAATGAGAGCTGAACTTTGTCTGAAGGCTTTCCCACACACTTTACATTTACATGGTTTCTCTCCAGTATGAATTCTTTCATGAATAATAAGTGTTGAGTGGGAACTTAAGGCTTTACCACATTCACTACAATTATAAAACTTCTCACCAGTATGAATTATTCGGTGTCTGTTAAGTCGTGAAATAGAAGTGAAGCCTTTTCCACATTCATTACATCTATAGGGCTTTTCTCCAGTGTGAATTCTCTCATGTTGAATAAGAGATGCACTCTGACTAAAGGCTCTCCCACATTCACTACATTTAAAAGGTTTCTCTCCTGTGTGAATTCTCTGATGATAACGAAGGGATGAGCTAGACTTAAATGTGTTACCACATTCATTACATAAATAGGACTTCTTTCTGGAATGAATTCTCTGACACCCAGGAAGGGATGTGTTGCAACTAGATGATTTCCTACCTGGATTATATTTATAGGGGTTTTCTCTAGCATGGATTTTTTGATGTATGAAAAGGCCTGACCTTCGACTGAAAGACTTACCACATTCTTTACATCTATAGGATTTCTCCACAGTATGTGTTCTTAGATGTTTATAGAGGGATGTGCTAAGAGTAAAGGCTTTCCCACATTCTTTACATACATAGGGTTTCTCTCCAGTATGGGTTATTTGATGTTGAATAAGAGCTGAACTTTGGTTAAAGGCTTTTGAACATTCTTTACATTTAAATAATTTCTCTCCACTATGATTTTTCTCATGTTTACGAAGGGATGAAGTGTTAATAAAGGTTTTCTCACATATACTACATTTATAGCGTTTCTCTGCTGTGTTGATTTTGGGTTGATTAATCAAATTTAAATTCTGTTTGAAGCTGATTCCTTGTATTTCACATTTTGGTAGTGTTTCTTCTCTAGGAACCATCTGTTTTCTAATAAGGACTGATTTTGGGCTAAGGTTTTGGCCAAATTCAGTATTTTTATGTCTTCTTTCTACAGTAAGAATATTTTTGTGGGTAAGTGAAAGTATCTGAACACCTTCCTTTTTCTTCCGTTTTTTCTCTAATCTGTCTTCATATGCACAGGTTTTTTCTGATTTGAAGACCCAGGGTCCATTCCTTTTGGATCTTTTCATTATCAACTCCTGAAATAAAGAATCTTGCGTTTGAGTTGATTTTGTGGTTTTATGATTACTCTTGCATCCTGGAGGGGGGGAAAAACAAACTGAAGATGTTTCATATGATACAGCTTTTGGCTACAGAGACAAAATGTATAGAATAAATAAACACTGATTATCTTTAAATAAGGTCTTGGTATCTGCCCCAAAAATAGATTTAAGCAGTATGGAAAAATAATCAATGAGAGCTTAAAGTATTAGGGTAGAAAAAAATAATTTTAAAAAACACATTTAAAAGATGGTGAGTATAGAGTGACTAAGAGAACTGTTGAATGAAGAATGGAGAAAAGAAAAGTATGAATTAGGAAAGGCAATCTGGGATCAGAGTCCAAAGCCTACGATAGATTCCTAAATTATCTTCATGACATTCCTCTTCTTTATGTAATCACTCCTAACCTGGAAAGTCCTTCCTCCATTTCCCTCATGTCAAATTCTTTTGTATCCTTCAGATTCAATTAAAAAATAAACTCTTTCTGAGTCTTTTATTGACTCAATTTCCATAGTCCATTCCCATCAATATAGACCATACCACAGTGTTTTAAAAATGTAATATATATAGATGTTACTTTCCTTTTTCCCCATAAGTGTTCTTTACAATCAGATTAGAATACCCTATTAACCTCTAAGTCTTCCTGGTGGCATCTGAATTACATACAACTTTTTTGTTGATCTTTCTTAATTACGTATATACTCCAAATTTGAAAAATGTCAAATATTTTCAATTATTTATACATCAATTTCACACACAAAACATGATTCAAATACTTGTAGAAGTTGTCTTACAGATCAGTACATTACATGGGTGATGGGAGGCTTTCAGGGCCAGTTCACACAGGAAGGCATTATTGAATTAAGTTACAGAGGAGTCACAAGTAGACCTGAAGCCGAAGTCAAAAGTTAGGAAGGCAGCCTTGCTCATGCATTAAGCATAAGAGACTGCAAGCAAAGTAGAAAAGTCAAAGATCATACACTGCTGTAGAAATAAAACAAAAAGGGGTGATAGGCATAAATATAAAAAGGGGTGTTTGCAGCCGCCATCCCTCTCTAATGCCTGCGCTGTCTCCAGCTCATGGAGCTCCAGCCAAAGGAGAAAGGGGGGCAAGTAAAGAGGTCTTTATACCATGACTCATACAAAGCAGACTGCCCACAAATCAACCAGTGGTGAAGCACCAAGGAAGCAACTGGCTACCAAAGCCGCTCCAAAGAGTGTGCCCTCTACTGGAGGGGTGAAGAAACATCGTTACAGGCCTGGTACCGTGGCACTTCGTGACATTAGCTGTTATCAGAAGTCCACTGAACTGATTCGCAAACTTCCCTTCCAGCGTCTGGTGCGAGATATTGCTCTGTGTTTCCAAAACGCAGCAACTGGTGCTTTGCAGGAGGCTAGTGAGGCCTGTCTGGTTGGCCTTTTTGAAGACACCAACCTGTGTGCTCTCCATGCCAACGTGTAACAATTATACCAGGAGACATCCAGCCAGCACGCCACATACCTGGAGAACATGCTTAAGAATCCACTATGATGGGAAACATTTTTCATTCTATAAAAAAATTCTACTCTTCCTGTTATTGGTAGTTCTGAAAGTTAGATAATTTTTTTTCCGATGGGATCAAAAGGTACCTAAGTATATGATTGGAAGTTGAAAATCGGGGACAGAAATCAGGTATTGGCAATTTTTCCATTTTTATTTGTGTGTGAATTTTTTTAATCTAAATGCAGGGACATACAGCATTAATGCAAGTCAAATGTTTCAGTGAACAAGTTTCAGCAGTTCAACTTTATAACAATAGAAATAAAACTTAAATTTTTCTGGACAATGCCAGCATTTGGATTTTTTTAAAACAAGTAAATTTCTTATTGATGGCAACTAAATGATGTTTGATAAATATATACATTTATATATATATATATGTACATATTTATAAATAATGTGTGCGTGTGTGTGTGTGTGTGTGTATATATATATATATATATATATATACACACACACACACATGCATAAGGTTAAAAAAAGGGCAATATGATAAAGTGGTAAAGAACAAAATTGATTTCAATAAATATTATAATTGGGTAGAACACAATTCACTGAATATTCAATTTTGGCAGGGGAATGGTTGTGCACACAGTTTGGCATTTTCTTCTGGGCTAGAGGTAACCATTTAAAGGGCTCCTTTGCATCTCATTTGAGATTCCTATCTCACATTCACTTTCATATGAATGTGTGTATACTCCCTCTGCTTGGTGAACATAATGTATTCCACTTTCCTCCTTTCTTCTACCAGTATTCCCTTCTCAGATTCCTTCATGGATAACACTTTCTATCCCTCCTTTGAAAACTGGTATTCCTTAGCCTTTGGGATTTTTTTTTTTCACTCTACACAGCCTCCTTGACTAATTTTATATGCACCCATATCTTTACTATTTATTGTAAGGGAACCAGGAGTTTTTTACTTCCTGCCAAACACCTTCCTAGCTCCTTCTCTCCATCTAAGTCTTGAAAAATTAAATGATCAAATCTCAATACATTATTTGGGCAAAAGTATGAAAGGCAAACACAAAAAATGGGTCCTTTCTCCAGTGACTATATGTCATTGGTTCTAGGTCAAGTATATGTGCTGAGAAGAAGATAGTAAGATTCTGCAATTTAGGTTCTAGCTTGTAATAAAGTTAGAGATCCTGCCTTAGGCCTGTACATAAAGACTGCAGTTTTGTGACCAACACCTTTACTAGAACCCTGAGCATTTGGCACAGGTACCTAAATGGTATTTTGTTTCTCATGCTTTACTGTAGTCTCCCATAGTCTCCTAACTAGTCTCCCTGCTTCAAGTCTTGCTCTCTTCCAATTCAGTTTTCACACTGTAGGCAGAGTAATCTTTCTAAAATCTTATCTTACCATGTTACAAACTTCCTTAGATCCTCCAATTTATCTTTAATAATCTATAACAATAAAAGCATAATATGCTAATTAGACCAGATGGCCAAACAGCAGAACGACCGTCTAGACGACCTTCTGGACAAAGCCGGGGCTGCCAGGGACAAGGCCCTTGCATGAATTTTGTGCATCCGCCCTCTAGTTTATATATAAAGTCCTGAGTACTTTATATATATACCATGGTCACCAAGGTATTTCATGTTCTGACCTTTGTCCACCTGTCCTCATCTCCCTCCCCTGGCTTCTCGTCAGGTATATTGAACTATATGTAGTTTCTGGAGCATGCCATGTTTTTTCGTATTTCTTTATCTTTGCATGTGCTGCAAACATCCTTTCCATTAACAAATGGTTATTAACTGCCTACTATGGGCCAGGTAATGTTCTAGGGAATGTGATGACTAAGTTCTGGAGCTTATACTTCGGTATGTGTGTATGAGAGTGCTGGGGGAAGGGGTGGAATGAAATGACAAATAATAATAAATAAAAGCCATATGGATATGTGAAGAAGGGCTTCCCAGGCAAAGGAAACAACAGCAAACAAAAGTGTGGTGACTTCAGAGGAACAGCCAAGAGGCTATGTGCCTAGAATGCAGTGAGCAAGAGGGAAAAAGGTAAATAAGACAAGCGCAACAGATAGGGCAAGTCATATTAAGGCCTCATATGTTACAGTAAGGTCTTTGGAATTTTATTCTCAGCATGATAGAAAGCCACAGGGAAACTGCATGCCCACTCAAGTTGGCTACTATGCAGAGAACAGACTAGTGGGGCACAAGTAGAAGCAGAAAAGAGATAAATCACTTAAAAGGCTACTGCAATTATGTAGGTGAGAAAGGGGTGGACAACAGATGACTGCATCAGGATCAACTATAAAGAAAGTGCTAACAGGAAAGGAAAAAGGTAAATAAGACAAGCGCAACAGATAGGGCAAGTCATATTAAGGCCTCATATGGTACAGTAAGGTCTTTGGAATTTTATTCTCAGCATGATAGAAAGCCACAGGGAAACTGCATGCCCACTCAAATTGGCTACTATGCAGAGAACAGACCAGTGGGGCACAAGTAGAAGCAGAAGAGATAAATCACTTAAAAGGCTACTGCAGTGATATAGGTGAGAAAGGGGTGAACAGATGACTGCATCAGGATCAACTATAAAGAAAGTGCTAACAGGACTGGGCTTGCTGATATGCTGTAGGATGGGTGCTGAGAGGGAGCAAACAATCAACATCACTCCTCCCCTGCGAGAAAGAGAGCCAGCCGAAGGCCTCCTCCCTACTCCCAGAGTGAGGACGCTCCCTACGCACTGCCATGGAGAGAGTTCCATACCAAGTGAAGGGGCAGAATACTGTGTGTGGTACACTATCACTGGAGTGGACAAAGGAAAGAGTATATACAGGACTATTTGTTTATATCTGCATAGAAGAGCTCTTCCAGCTGCTGCTGCTGCTTCAAGTCTGACTATAGTTCCTACGCTTCACTTCCTCCGGCTCACTCACCACTCGGTGGCTCCATGTTGGCTTCTGTCCTCACCACTACCCTTGCTAAGGCAACTGTGATCTCCATGTGGCTAAGACAAGATGCTCTTTTCAACAGCATCTGATAGTGACCACTCCTTTTCCCGGAGACATTCTCTTCCTAAGCGAGTGGAGCCAAACTTTCCTCCACGTCCTTCTCATTGCTCACCAGCCTCAATTTCCTTGGTGGGCTTCTCAGTCTCCTTTGTGACTTACTTTACCTCCTCTTTGATCCTTAGAGTTCCTTAGGGTTTAGTACTAGGTCCCCAAATCTTCTCACTCTGCACTCTTTACACGGGCTCTAATTATACACATACACCGCATGCGTGACTTCTCTACTTTCTACACCCAGTTACACAACAACCTACTCCAAATAGCAACTTAAATGTCTCAAAGACACCTCAAATTCAACATGCCTAAAACCCAATTCATGATTATTCCCTCCAATCTTTATAATCCTTTGGCTCTGTAAATGACACCAGTTCTGAATTAAACCTTTAAGAGGCATCATTAATATCTCTCCCTCAGATCCCTCAGCTAATCGATTATCAAGAACTGTTTATTCTATCATCTAAATATGCCCCCAAAACATCTATTTCTCTCAAGTTCTACTGATAACAATCCTACTACGAGCCTTGATTTCAATGACAACTGACTTTCCTGAGTTCCTCTTATCATACTCCTCCATTTGCCTTCCCTATGGCTTCATTTTTCTCTACCTTACCATGAAATGCTAGAGTTCCTCAAATTTGACTCAGAGGCTCTTTCTTGCTCTTACTATAATGTGAACTCCACCAATTAAGTCAAATTCAGCCACTGTTTCAATTAGCCTACCTTGACCAGGATCTCCCAAATTTACATTGCACACCAAGTCTATATTCAAAGGGGTGGTACTCCAAATCTAAGAGGCTATTTGTCATCTCCACTTGGATAACAAGGTCAACCAAAGACAACCAAGCAGCCCCTCCTCTTCCCTCCTGAACCCCACTGCACGAGCCCTCATCCAGACCCTTGTTACATCTTACCTACAATATACAATGGTCTCCAGAAGCCTCCCATACCCAGTTTTGCCTCACTTTAAACCTATTTGCTGCAATGCTTCCAACGTGACTGTTTTTAATTTCAAATTACTAAGGAATTCGTGGATTATTCTCCATGTGAAAAAAATCAAAAGATTACATATAAATGAAGTCCCCTTTCATCCCCCCCATTCTGGACCCCATTCCAAGCATACTGTTACCAGCTAAGCTGTGCAACTAACTTCTCTGTATATTATACCTTAGACAAACACCCCCATAATCTTCTTTAAACATAAATGGTGACACATGATAACAATGCCCTGAACTGCTTTAGTCCTTACCGTGCCTTGGAGGGCGTCTATCCACGTCAGGTGCTCTTTCTAGCCAGAGCAATGTTTCTAAAATGTCAATGGCCACAGAATTCTTCTGCCTAAAACCCTCTGCACTCACCCATCGAGCAGTTCACATCTCTAAGAACTGTACCAAAGCACTTTATAATGGGGCCCAAATTTCCCAAAATCGTTTTTCATCTCCTTCTTTCCCCACACACATACCCTGAGCCTCAGTCAGAATGAACTACCTGCAAGTCCTTACATACACATTAGCTGAATGGGCACGAGAACGCAGCCCTCCTCTGAAACCACAGGAAAGGATAAGAAAAGAGGTCCTGACAGATCCATTACAAAGTGAATAGCAGGGAAAGGAGAAAGGAGGAAGCTCGTGTCTGGTCCTCAACGTCCCTTCTCCGCCACTCCTGAGGACCAAGGACCCTGGAGAGACGTTCCCAACCATCATCTGCAAGCCCCACCCTCCACTTACTAACCAGACCCTGGCCTGGTGACCCGCGGGCACCTCAGCCCCACTCACCGAGAGGGGCGCCCCAAGGACTCTCTTCCTCCACCTTCCATGGCTCTTCTCCTTGCTGCAACAGGGAGATCACTTTTGGTTTGGAAAATAGGAGCCCTGTTCATAGACCAAAAAAGAAAGAAAGAAAAGACTTGGATTTGTTTTGACACAGAGAGGTAGCTCAGATCCGAGTGGAAACTCAGGGGATGGTACAAAAGCTTCTGATGGTACAGAAGCTCTCTGATGTGAGAGGTATGCTAGGAAAAGGGGACTTGTAGCACATGACTACGTAATAATTAGCTGTACGTTAGGGAGAGAGCATAAACATCAGCCT